CCCCCCCCCCCCCCCCCCCCCCGCCCTCCATGGTATAACACAAGAAATGGGTTCCATTAAGTTGTTCCCAAAATTGCCCCCGATTTGGAACACGGAGATCAGCGTTTAAAACCACCTAGGCGGAGTGTATCTCGTCTTGGATGTTCACGACCAGGTATCCTTACTTTGTAAGTCGAAATCTCCACCTCTTGTCGCTATCATTGTCTGAGACCAACTTTTTAGTTGGGAACGCCTATAAATGACACTGGGTCAAGCGTACCCAACTAGCTATCTATAGTCTACCTCCAGTAGTTGCAAGGGCGAGACGATGGTTTATCCCTTATTACTTTGATATTGGTTTAGTCGCGTTATGAACCCTATAAATATGTAGATATATGCTAACCTCACGGAACCACCATTATACTCACTTTTGCTTTCTGGCCAAGAAAAAAGATCAAGTCGCTGAATCGGAGTTTCCGTAACCCACATAATATCCTGCCAAAGACGATGCCGTCGCATTTCTTGTAGCAGTCTGTTTTCTCCTCCAATCAGCGAGCGCTCCAAGGGAAACGCAAGTACCTACCTTCAAGGGTTGGTGGTGAATCCCATTTCATCAGCGGAGCTCAGGTAGGGCTTTTCTAGAAAACCATTTTTTGGTGCTAAATTAGATGAATAAGGGTTGAAGGTAGGTTGTGGGAATAACCAGAGTGCATTTTCTGACGGAGAAGAACAAACACCTTATCCCGCCTGTGAGACGACTGCTCATGAATTAAAGTGCATAACCTGCTTAACGCTCGCCTGAATTCATTCCCAGTATCGTGATCGTAATTCATTAATAAGCTTCTGATATTCGAGTTCATATGACAGTATACATCTCATATTGAACGGCCGCTGCAATTTGCTATCCTTCCTATATTAAACACGAATGACTTGACCTTTGTGGTAGCACATTCGACTCTGTAATTTCCATGGGCAATTGGTCAATCATCCATTCGCTCAGAAACCAAGGATACGCGAAGTATGGATGTCATGTAAAAGGATCAGAACCAGACTACGGTGGTATAACTAATGCAGTTGTATGCTGGGGCGCGACTGTAATCATTTTACCATGATCACTTTAAAGTGGGTGTATGCCGTTTGACGCGGCCCCTCGCAGCCACTTTGTCATTGGGGCGCATGGGCTTCAATTGCCACCCATCCAAAGCAGTTTCCGCGTCACCCAACTCGTCCAAATCTGTTAGCCTCACGGTTTACGATCAGCCATCAAACTGATTAGAGCTTCTTCACACATAGGTGCGAGGCGACCCTGATTAGGAGTGAAGACTCAGGGGTCACCAAACTTTTCAGTCATCCTCATTAAGCGAGTAGTAAGGAAGGAAGTTGCCAAGAGTTTCAAGAGTTATCCATTTGAATCAACCCTTTATGCAAATTATATCAGTAATATACATTTTGAAAATCTTATCAATATTTCAAACTCACTCACATTCATAGCACGAAGTGGCACGTACCAGCTTACCGTTTTTTTACACTCAGAGATTAAAAAGGATAATCTTGGCGATTAAATCCAAGAAATCATGCACATAGAAATGTTCGAGAAATTCCAAAGCACTTTTACTGTTCTCGGAAAAGATTGACCAGGTCTTGAAAGGTACCACTGACCCCTGCATGGTAGAATTTCGGATTTGCGGGCTTCCGTTT